AGATGGATTGACCAAGTGGCAGCATCGATGGACTCAAGTGTGGCAACAATAGTGAGGTTGGTCCAGGATCGGGCAGTGTTTCATTCTGCTGTGCATAAGGTTGCTATGGGTCGGTACTGACTTGATGGAACCTAACAACAACAACAACAATGTGTAAGCTGCCCATCCCTGTCAACCTTGTGTACAGAGAGGGTGGGAACAATCCTTGCTACTACTTCCATAAGTATACGTCAAGTTCAAATTGTAGCGGATTATACTTTTTTCCCTCTTCTTTCTACTTCTAGTTGAGTTTTGATCCCCCAGCCATTGAAGCTAGGTCAAATAGGTACTATCCGTGAGTATGGGCATTCTTGTGCATCTCCCCTTACTTCACTCCCAGCTCTAGTCCTCTGTGGGCTCAGAAGTCCCCAGCTCTCACTATATTGCTGGCCAACCAGGTCTCAATCCAGGTTGACAGGAGTCTATTGAACGTGGTTGGATTTAGCCCACAGCTTCAGTGTTGTTTTTCCCCCCACTTCCCCTTACTGGTATACCAGTGTGGTCACCAACAAGATTACATGCCTGCTCACGTATTCCTTTCTATTTCAGTCTTGAAAGGGGGTTTGCCCTGAGGTGACTTGATTGCTTGCCTTGAAGGCTCCCCTGTGAACAACTTGTTTGTTCTTGTAGTAGTCAATCAGACTGCCATTATTGTTTTTTATTTTTCCTGTCCGTCTTTCTTTCAAGAAGTATCTTCTGTTCTAGCTGCTCCAGGCTGGTCTGCTTGTCTTTTCAAGTGGAAATTTCCCTCCTCAGAAGATTCTGGATGGGGTTCAGGATTCCACCTATGGTCTTATGCAATGCAAAAGCTCCGCAGGAAGCCTACTTCACTGGGCAAGTTCTAGCCCCATTTTAGGTATTCCCATCAGTTATAGGTTGAAGACAGACTTACAAGCTTTCTATAGTGATGTTTCTGGCTGTTCCTTTCTCTCTCCCTCAAGTGTCTATTTTACAATAGGAGGTAAGGAAAACCAAGATTTATAAGACAGTTAAGCATCTTAACATTATTTCCCCTTTTACCCATTCAAACCATGCCTCAATCCCTGTATCACAGAGCCCTGTTTTTCCAAGGTTGAGCATACATCACTATTTACCTCTGTCCCACTTAGCCAGTGCAAACCTGCCTAATTGTTCTCCCATCCACCTTGTTCTTCCATTCCCCTCCCCCTTCTTGTATATTGCCCCCTTCCCTAGCAACCAAACTATCCTGTGTCTATTTCCCTACCCTGTGCTCTATCTTCCACTCCCTCCCCTCACCCCACCCCCTACACCCTGGGAATCAACAAAGAATTTTTTTTTTTCCCCTTTTAGTGTGGGTATTTTTACTTAAGCTTTTACAATAATGGTCCTATGCAGTATTTCTCCTTATGTGACTTATTTTACTCACCATAATGTTCTCAAGGTTCATCCATGTTATGTGGTGGCTTGCAGCTTCCTTGTTATTCTTCAGGGTAGCATAATATTCCATTGCGTATATGTACCACAGTTTGTTTATCCATTCTTCCATTGATGAGCACTCTAGCTGTCTCCATCTTTTTGCTATTATAAATAGTGCTCCTGTGAACATTGGTGTGCATATATCTTCTCATGTTATGGCTCATACTTCTTATGGATAAGTATCAAGTATAAGGATTGCTGGATCATAAGGTATTTCTATTTCCAACTTTCTGAGGAAGCACCATGCTGTTTTCCAGAGTGATTGAACCTTTTGCAATCCCACCAGCAATGTAAGAGGTTCCCAGCTTCTCCACATCATCACCAGCATTTATTGTCCTCTACTTTTTTGAATTTTGCTGTTATTGCTGGTGTGAGATGATTGAGATCTCATTGTTGCTTTGATTTGAATCTCTACTGGCTAGTGTCTCTTCTGACA